ACCTATTTTGGTCAGGAGGGACCATTCCCTGGAGAAGGATGTCATGCTTGGTAGGGTGGAGGGTCGACAAAAGAGGGGGAGGCCTTCAATGAGATGGATTGATATGGTGGCTGCAATGATGAGCTCAAGTATAGCAGGGATTGTGGGGCTGGAGCGGGATCGGGCAGTGTAAATTCCAGAAGGGAGTTGTTTCCACCTGCAAGAACACTGTCCTGGAACACCTAAGATGAGGATAAGATTTAGAGGACTTCATTTGGGTTTACTCTTAATCACAGCCCAGGCTGCACATTGGAACTTCAGATCAACTTTCTTGCAAAAAGCTATTAGTCAACGGAAGAGTGACAAAATACAGATTTACACAATTTATTTTCTGCTGTGAGAAATATAAATTAAGACAGCTTTACTATTGACTAGGGTTAGAGAATAATTTATCTCCGCCTATAAAGGAGAATAGTAACGTTGAAATTGGATACTCCCAGTAGAAATTCAATGTGATGTTTTCAACTTTGTTGATTCATCATTTAATCTTACTGAGTTTTTGAAACTTATTGTAACTATAGTGACACATTTTTTCTTCTTTGCCTTTGTTTTCAATCAGTACCCAACCCATGCTTGGAGTTAGTTTGTGAATTCCTCTGTTTGCTGAATCCTTCTGGGGCCTCCTGTGTGTGCCCTGAAGGAAAATATTTGATTAATGGCACCTGCAATGATGACAGCCTGTTAGGTAGGTGTAATCCATTATTATGGAAATAATTAAATGATTCGTATGATAAATTTTCACAACAATTGAAATTGAACAAAATTCTGTACACAATCACCAGTTCAGCTCTCTTGGTAACAGTGGCTCTGAATGTTTGTGTAAATGATTCTTCACTTGCAGTTGAAGATTTAATTCATTCTGTATCTGTTCACAAAGCAACATTGAGCTTTTAGCATGCATTTAACAATAGATTTAGGACTTCGGTATCATGCACAAAGCCAGAAGATATTTTAATATAGCTATTGTATCAGAGAAGGTAATGATCTTTTTAAGGATGCTATTCTGCTATTTCTTTAAACCAAACACAAAAATCCATTTATTCATTCAACAAGTTTATATTGAACACCTGTGTACCAAACACTAATTTAAAAACTGAAGGTAACACTCAGCAAAACTGACAAGGTTTCTTCACTTTTACTCATCACGCATGGAGTTTAGATTTTAGAAGCCAGGAATTGGAGCAAATAATAAAAAACTGAAATGCCATTCAAACGCTGATGAGTGCTAAATTATAAAATACATTTAAAGGCTTATCCAAAAAAAAAAAAAACAAAACAAATTCACTGCTGTCCAGTCAGATACAACTCATAGTGACCCCTCCTTGGTTTTCCAAGCAGTATCATGACAGAAGTAGATTGCCTAATCTTTTCAAGGAATGGCTGGTGGGGTTGAACCACCAGCCTTCTGATAAGCAGTCTAATGCCTTAGGCACTACAACACCAGAGCTCATAGTGCCTAAGGCACTTGACTGCTAACCAGAAGGCTGGCGGTTCAAACTCACCAGCCACTCGTTGGAAGGAAGACTGGGCAATCTACTTCCATAGTTATGTTGTTGTTGTTATGTGCCGTAGAGTCAAACCCAACTCATAGCGACCCCTCCTTGGGTTTCCAAGGCAGTATCACTACGGAAGTAGGATTGCCCAACCTTCCTTCTGAGGAGTGGCTGGTGGGT